TCTTTCCCTGCATGTGACCTTGTGAGTTATGGTTTCATGTTTTGTTATTTTTAGTTCTCCCCAGTTTAGGTTTTTGTTCAGTTCCGCCCTCACTTTTGTTATCGAGCAATGTAAATAAACCTCACTCGCATCTCCACCACTGTCTCCAACTTGGGTCCTCATTTACTCCACCACACGACTGCTGCCCCAGCCGTGACAATATCACCCCAATAAAGCACTTTGCATTGAAACTGCTAGTTTGCTTGTGGTCTCGGGAGTATTTAAAAGTAGAGGCAAAACAAGCTCCCAATTTGGATTCAGGATATAGAAACTCTCTCTACTTTTGAGATTGGGTTTAAAGCTTTCCCTTTTGACAAAGTATAGAGATAGAGCTGATTTAGGTAACCCTGAATCCTCCTGGATGCTGGGAGCTTCCCATGAAGTTTTTCTTCTTTACGCTCTTCCATTGTGTGTCTTTTGCCCTGTCTTATTTTACATATCTATATAAATAAAATTGAATTGATTTGAATTAAGTGGCCTGAAACCTTTGCTTGAAATCTCATTGCTTCTAACTACATTTATTATATATATTTATTTCTACCAATGAAAAAGAGAACAATGGGGAAAAAAACCCTCAACAATCTTCACCCAAAATAACAAAGTAATTTTATCAACACCCCCCCTTATTTAATGTGTTCAATATGTAATTACTACCTTAATTCTCATTTATAGGATTATGCCAAAATCTCCCTGAAAGGCCTTTAATTGATCCAGAATGCTGAGTACTAACTGGGACTGGAAGAAGAAGCCATATTTCTCCCATATTACTCCTCATTGTCTCCCTGTCATACCTTTGTGTTCATCAGGCCCCATTAAAAAAAAAAACATTAAAGACCTCATACTACCTTATTATCCAAACAAAATACTTTGCTCTCTGACTGCAGGCTTATCTGTGGTTCCTAGCCAGAGAATGTAATTCATTTCTCTTGTAGTTCAAGTTCAAAGCAATCGTCACAGTGGCTCTACATTATAAACAGAAACAAAAACAACATTCCTGACTCCCCATCACTGCTTTTGTTACCTGTTGAAGATCAGGATCTCACTGTGGCTGGAGTTGGGATTCTGTGCAGATACTTAAGAGTCCAAGTTGTGTAAGCATTATAACGCAGCTCTTTCTGTCCTGAATGCAGTTTCCACTTTACCATTGAGCTCTTGTCATTTTGTGCAATAAAAATAAATGTAATGTTCATATCGCCACTCCAAAAGCTGTATCACTGTCCACACATGAACTGAAACCAGCTAGTTGTAGCTCCAGTGTAAAAATATAAATAAAAATACATTTTAAACGCAGATAACAGGAACATTTGGAATGCCAGTAAAAAAAAAAAAATCGAAACTGTAATGTATTTACTGAATTTAGTATTATGGCATGAATTAACCCATTGTGAGATCTTGCCCCACCCTACCATGTGACTTACTGAGATCAAATGGCCCAACATGTGAGTGGGTGTTAAGGCATAAGTGAAGGAATCTCAAAATTGGATTATAGATGGCAGACAGTTGGTGTCCTAAGCCATCACCTGTGTTCAAGGATGGTCTTCACAGTGGGCATAAATGGCTTCTTTCACTTCTCTTTCAGACCATCTGCCTTCTCTGTACAAAATGTGAACATTGGCATCCTTGAAAAAGTGACCTTTACCCTTTAAACCAGTGTTTTTTCTGAGTGTAGTACACTCAGAACCCAGTACACTGGGATGCCGTGCTTGGAGAAACAAACTAAACAATGTAGTATATGCTGTGCAGTGCAGCAAGGAATGCTCAGTCCTCTACATACAGAGCCATGGGCCATACACTAGCTGCAAAGAAAACATTCCAAAATATAATATGTATTCCCAAAACTTTAATTATGCAAAGGGGCTTGAGTGGAAATGCATTTTTCTGAAGTCACATTTGTGTTTGCAAAAGCTTCATATGTAAAAATGTTTTCTAGAGACACGTTTACCTCTTGAGAGCTGTGTTTATAAGAAAGCGATCTTGTCAGAGTTGTAATCTCCTCCCATCCTCAAATATATATTTTATTATTATGCTAATGTTCACATCTTATTGTTCACACAGGAGTTAGTAGATGTGGCTTTGTCTCCTGCTGACCTTCCGGCTATAGTCAATAAGCCATTTTGTGACACTTTATCAATGTAGGAGATTTATATTCTCATAATAGAGAACCTTGGCAGCAATATTACTTTCTGATTAGTGACTAAAAATGGTCTGCCACCCTGTGCAGTGGTTATTCATTCCTTTAACTGATTGTAGCTGGCCCTATGTGGGAAGGCACCCAAAGAGATTAAGTTTTATTAGTAGAGTAATATTAATTAACAACTTACAGAAATTAATCTAGGGACAGCTTAGATGACAGCTCTGATGACCTACTGTAATATTGCAGCAGGCTTGATGCTCAATGTTTTATAATCACAAGTGAGGAATTTTCAGATCCCCAAATAAATATTATCCCTAAAATGTCACTTTTGAGCCATGGGTGACCCCAGATGCAGGCAGCTTCTGATGTGAGCGAGCTTTATTGAAGTGACAGGTGAAACAAACAGGAGCATAACGGGCATGAACCTAAACCAAAGAATGACCTAAACAGGGAAAAACTAACAGAGACTAACCAGAAATGGCGATGCAGGGAAACACAGGGAATTACACAGAATGATGGAGGGGAATAATGCAGACGAACCAGCAACGAGGACGAGGGAACACACACTAGAAGTACACAGACCAGCAATCAGGGGATGGGGAAAAAGGAGGGAAACACACCTGTGAGACATCACAGCTGACAAGGCAGGGGAAACGTAAATAGAACGCACTGACATCAGACAGAGAACTTCAAAGTAAAACAGGAAACACATACACGTAATGACACAACACACACACACAGACTGGGGGACACAGAACATACGAACATGAAATGTGAAAAAGCAGAGTACAAAAACCCACAATAATCAAAACCACAGAATAATAATAAACTAAAACACGGAGTAACAGACTCCGGACCATAACAATTTTGTCCAGCCATCCTAATTATTAATTTTGGTGTGGAAGACGCATTACATTATTCTGCAAAGTTCTTAAAAACGGATTGATGCAAGCTGACTTAGTGAGAAGGGTTATATGTGAAACATGTCCCACTAATCACATCAACAGTGGGACTCCTTTTGATAGTTTCTCTACTATCAAAGCAGGAGAAGCTACAGCACAGTGGAAACAACAGTGAGCAATGTGGATGTAATGAGCCAGCCCTGAAAGAAGAGAACAGTAAAACTGAACTAGATGATGCCCAACCACCTGCATTGACAAATTACATCTTCTGAGCTGAAGATAAAGATTGCTAACCCACCAAGAGCTCAATTCCACTGGGTCACTAAAAAAGTACCATAAGAGGATATACTTCCAAATATGAACACTGTTCTAAGCACCAATGTTGCTGAAACCAATGATCTCAAATATGCCACTGCCACAGTAATCTTAGAAACACTTGGGTATTGTTAGGTTTAATGTATGTGTTGTAGATTGCCATTTAAAAAGCTAGAATGCTTCTGTTTGCTCTCTATGTAACCCACGCATATAAGTACGTGCGTGACCTCGATAAGGGGAACAAGCAGCCTTGAGAAGAACAGATTCTACTCAATGAAGGAAGCCACTTGGCTGGGACGAGATACCGACAACATCCTGGGAGAGCTGCACTCCCATCATATAACTTGCACAGCACAATCACACTTTGTAACCAGTTATAGTAATTTCTCATAGGTAATACAGCAACAAGCTTTATGAATATTCATGTGTGTAACCAATAAAAACAACCTGCAGGGGGAAAGCAAGTTGAAGTGGGTTGGAAACAACTGCTTCCCCCTCGCAAGTGAAAACTTGAGCTCTGTGTGACCTCATGTTAGGCATCATAGCAACCGAGCTCAATAGGCACATGAGCACAGTTCAGAAAGGATACCTGTCTGATACGTAGATATAAAGTGCTTCATGACCTTGAACACAGCTTACAATTACTTGTTTTCCATCTTTGCACACACCAAGTGCTCTACAAGAAGGTTAAAATTACAAATCAATAGTATGAAGAGGGTAAATGAAAGTAAATGCACCCAGAAATCACATAGTGGTCTCAGTGGGAGAAATGTTTTGTCACTCATCAAAGTTACTTCCTTAGTCGTAGCTTACTGCAGACCTCATCACAGTATATTTGAATAATGAACAGAACTAGCACAATTGATTAACAATAAACCATGAGTTCAGTTTAATAATTGTTAGCGTGCAAATTGTCATGGCCATTGATCAATAGCTATGAAAATTTGCCATTTATCAATGGCCATAGCAGTTCAAAGAGAGTGTCACTGGCTGGGTCTCAGACCTAGCGTTTTTGAGCTTATTCTGTGTTTTTAAGCTTTCATGCTAGGTTGTGATTATTAGTTCTTGTGTTGTCATGTCTGTGTCTTCATGTTTCCTGTTTTATTTTGAAAGAGTCTTTTGTTTTTTGTTCATTGTATCTAGTTCCACTAGTCCGCTGTCTGGTCCAGGCGAAGGAGACACTCCAAGCCTGGGAGATGCCAAGGTACTCCGCGGTGCTGTGGCAGCCAGAGGTCTTCGCGCCTGCTGGCCCTGCTACGCTGTCGCCCACAGTTCCATCAGTCACGACTCCCCTGCCGTCACTTACAGCCCCTTCAGTCACAGATCCCTCGCTGTCCCTTGCAGCCCCACCATTCACAGATCTCTCGTCGTCACCTGCAGCTCCACCATTCACGGCTCCCTCACCGTCGCCTGCAACTCCATCACTCGCAGCCCCCATGCTGACATCATGTTCAGGGCGTCCGGCACCTGCCAAGCCACGTTCAGCACGTCTGGAGCCTGCCATGTGACTGGATGATTTCTTGTCACGTATACACTGGCACCATCGCCGTCTTGGAGAACTACTGAATTATGGATTTTCATGCTGCTGACCTCCAGGTCGGTCTCCAAAACTACTCACAGTCACCGCCACAGGCCTCCGGGTCGACCCCCAGAGTTGCATAAGCATGGACTGTTAAGCCATCAACCTCCAGGTCGACCCCCAGAACTTTTTCATTTTGGACCATTGTGCTGCCACCCTCTAAGTCGTCCTCCTGAAATTCTGAGTGATGGACGTTGAGTATCTGACCTCCAGAGTTATGTTTTCTGTCCTTATTTTGGCTCATGTTTCCGGGAATAGCTGCACTCAGAGCATTACAAGATGCTGAAAGATTTAACCCTCTCCAGGCAGGTGTTGCCCATTTGCAACAGATGAAAACTAACAACCTGATTACCCCACATACATATTTTATGAGGTTTTTTTACTCAGAAGTACCACTGCAGGACTTGGTTGTGCATTAGCAACAAAAAGTTTAATTTGAGCCTGACAGGGTTAAATTAAGGCTTGGTTTACAGATGGTTCCCTTTTAACGTATTAATGTGGGAAGTGGACCTAAGAGCAGGCACATGCAGGCAGGGTGAGGTAAAGAAAAGGAAAGCCATTCACAAATTAAAGAGGAAATGCAAAAACAGAAAAGGGAACTGAAGATCTTCTACCATCAGAAACCTAAAGTAGGACCACAAGAACGCAGGAGCAGTAAAACTAGGAGGCACAAAAGGAAGGTGATGTTCTGACAAAGGACTGACATGATATCACTACACATGAATAAACTTAACACAGGAGACTTGACACAAGATGATGGCACACTGAGTGTTCTGCCTTTGGTTTAGTGCCCCCTACTGGGCCTTGTAAATTGTTGTTAATGTGACATGCACTTTGAACCAGAACAGGAAGTCGGCCATGTTAGTTGGAGTAAGCAGGTTCACATGTGCTGAAGGGTTCCTGTAGTTATCCGCTGCAATCCTATTTCTTGTTTATGCCTTCGAAAGCATCGTCTGTGAGTACTTGTTGACTTAAGAATATAGAGCCATATTTTATTAACATTTTGGTAGGTTTGTGTTCTGGAGAAGGCATTCAACCGTGTCCCTCAGAATGTTCTGTGGGAAGTGCTTTGGAAGTATGGGGTGTTTGGCCCATTGCTACGGGCCATTCGATCCTCATACAACCGTTGTAAGAGCTTGGTCCACATAGTCGCCAATAGTCGGACTTGTTTCCCATGGGTGATGGACTCTGCTAGGGCTGCCCTTTGTCACTGATTCTGTTTGTAATTTTTATTGACAGAATTTCTAGGCGTAGTCAAGTGGTGGAAGGCTTTCACTTGGGTAGTCTCACAATCTCATTTCTGCTTTTCACAGATAATGTGGTTCTGTTGGCTTCATCGGGTGATGGCCTCCAGCTCACAAGCGGAGGAGTTTAAGTATCTCTGGATCTTGTTCATGAGTGACGGCAGATGGGAGCAGGAGATCGACAAATGGATTGGTGCTGCGGCTGCAGTGATGTGGACACTGTGCCAGTTTGTCATGCTGTAGAGAGAGCTGTGTAAAACCGAAACTCTCAATTTACCGGTTGATCTATGTCCTTCCCTTCACCTCTGGTTGATAAGCTGTGGGTAGTGACCAAAAGAATGAGATCACAGATACAAGAGGCAGAAATTAGCTTCCTCTGAATGATGGCTGACCTTGTAGTCTTGTAGAAATAGGGTCTAAAAGACACGTTGATGGTTTGGAGGAAGTAATTACTGAAGTTAACTCAGAAAGATCTACTGGAGAAAAAGACTAAATAAGTATCAAGGGTACTGAAAGAAGCTATACATAATGTTATGTCTGTGAG